TGGTTTTTATTACCCTGTTGCTCCTGTATGTTCTAATGATGGAATACCATTATTTCTGCATGATACCTGCACTCTATCATGCCTAAAATGCTATATTTAGTCATATTTGTAACCCTTGTACATTGCTTATCAGATGTCTTTTCATATTGACTGTTTCAATTTATACTGTGTAATTGTAAGGAACAGCTAATCTCTCCCCCCTTTTCTACAGTCAGTAAAGGTTAATAGATGGAACTTGCTTTCTTATAGAACAGTAGTGGTAACACCTGTGGGCCTTTAGGCGTGTCTTATCTCTATGCAAGGTCAACTGGATTCTGAGAAGTGAGGAGTTAGATTCAGGTGGGAGATTTTGTATTAACAAAAATGTTGAGTGTTAATTAAAGGAATACACTGATTGGTTGTAGTTGTGGGGCGATGATGCCTTTAGCCCCTATAACTTTAAGAAGTTGTTAGGCAATGGGATCACCACCTTTCACTTGGATCTTTGCGTGTGGGAATGTCAGGATGATGACTGTGTGGTGCTGGTCATTAAGGAATGATATTTTGTCTAGATCTTAGAGTTACATACTACCAGGCTAAAGAGAACAACTTAGTCTGTAGGAGTTTATTTGGTTTTTGTGCAAAGAGCCTAACAACTGTATCCTGACTGAATTTTGATTTTTTAAAATTTTGCTTTAATAAATATTAGTATTTTTACAACTTGTATTGTGTGTGTCTTACAGCTGCACCTTACCAGTGAGATGACTTGGCCTCAGAGGGGCATGTTTGGTGCAAATTTTAGGGAGCTCTCATGCCCATGGTCCAGGATTGAGAGGTCTCCCTGTGAGACTGGAGTGTCTTGGCCCTGGGCCAGTCCTCACAGTAATCTACTTTGGCACTGACTTGGATGGCCCAGGCTAGCCTGATCTCTTGGAAGCTAAGCAGGGTTGGCCCTGGTTGACACGTGGATGTGAGTTCTCCAAGGAAGTCCAGGGTTGTTATGCGGAGGCAGGCAATTGCAAACCACCTCTGAACATCTGTTGCCTTTATTTATTTATTGTTAACATTTTTACCCCGCCCTCCCCACGAGCGGGCTCAAGGCGGCTTACAAGAGGGTTACAATACTGCATGCTGAATCATCTCAGAAATTCCTAGGTGTAGGACTACAGCCCCAGGAAATGAAAATGTAGCAGGTCGGAATAAAGAGTCAAAAGAACTGCTTATCATCTGAAGCTGTACCTGCGGTCTGGACCACTGCTTGCAGATTCTTTTCTTGGAGATGCTGGAGTTTTTCAGTCTTAGCTTTGTTCTCTTTCTCTAGTGATCTAACTTTATGTATATACTGGCTATTCAGAAATTTCATGTCTGCAGTCTCATGTTCAACTTTCCTCATTGCAGCTTTCAAATCTTTGATCTGAGCCCTGCAGGGTTGCCATCAATCGGCTGCAACTTTATGGCACTTTCCAGCACCCAATCTGCTGTGAGTCTCAGTAAGAAAGGTGAACTATCACTACAGTAAACAAATATTTGAACTGAGCTTTTAACATAAGAGAGCATGCCAAAATGTAACTGCCTGTGATCCTCCCCTTGTGAAGACTTGCATCCCCTTCTATCCACCCCAGGTTTCTGCTACACCATTCCCCTGCTTGTACAAAAAGAGTATGGCTTTGTAAAATGGTCTGTCCCACTTGAGGGTGCAGGTAAAGGCCCTATTTTTCCCACCTGGAAACTCACTACACATACAGAAGCAGTACAGCAGGGAGTAGACTAGGCACTTCTCTCTCTGGGGGGACCCTTTTTATGTTTTTTTTTTAAATCACCTGGGAGCATTCAAAAATTGCATCCCTCACCTGAAGTGATACAGGACGCCATCCTAAGAACAGTCACCTAAGAGGAAGCCCCATTTAAGAACATAAGAGATGCCAATGTTGGATCAGGCCAAAGGCCCATCCAGTCCAACACTCTGTGTCACACAGTGGCCAGAAATACCAGTGCCATCAGGAGGTCCACCAGTGGGGCCAGGACATTAGAAGCCATCCCACTGTTGACCCCCCCAAGCACCAAGATGACAGAGCATCACTTGCCCCAGACAAAATTTAACAAAATGGGACTCCCTTCTAAATAGACCTGTTCCAGATTGTCCCCAGAGTCCAGCTTCTCACTTCCCCAGCTCCGTAAGCCTCCCTGTGCTCCTTCAACACGTTAACAAACAACGCAGATACGTGGCCAAGATCCCAGCATACCACCTCCTTAGCCACAAATCTGCCATGCTGCCTTAGCGCATTCAAACGACTGGTCGCCACCTCGAGAGCAGCTTTGACAATCTCTACTGTTTGTCTGAATCCACTGGAAACCGCAGCTCGGTGGCCACCCGGCGTAGGAAGACAAAGCCGAATCACGAGTACGAGATGGTTTCCCGTACAACCAGAGGAAAAGCCAGACATTTCTCTTCCCCACCGTTGCTTGGGAGAAGCGACCCACACACCACGCTGGCACGCCGGCCTCCCATGTCTGTTGCGGCTACAGCCGGAGGCGATGCGTGCAAAAGTGGCCGGAGTGCGCGCCGCAGCCACCCTTTCTCCAGCGGCGGGAAAGCCAGCCGCATTACCTCCTCCAACCCAACCCCCCCGGGCCTTAGGCCCTGCCTGTGGGCCACATACTCACCGCTAGTAGTCAGGCGGGGGGAAACGGAAGGTGGGTGAACACCGCTCTACTGCAGCTCCCTTCAGGAAGCGGCGCCTTCTAGTTTCTCCCGCCTGCGCGATTTCCCTCGTAACCAAGGAAGGGAGGAGGACTGGGGGGGAGGGAAACCCGAGTTTCCGTCTCCGTATCGCCGTGTGGAGCTCCCGTTTTGTGCAGCAGGGGGAAACCTTGAGCCCAACTTGCCTCGGGTTGTTGGCTGTGGCCCGGGGGTGGGGGTGGCACACGCCTGAAAATGTCTGCTGCGAAGGGGGAAGTCTCCGTGGTTGATCAATACCTCAGCCAAGCTGGGGAAAGTACTGGTCTTTTTCTTTCTTTCTCTCTCTAACCGCCAGAAACAGTGTGTAATCCTCCAGATTAGACAGGGAATTCGGTCTTTTGAAAAATTAGTCCCCATCATCACAGAATGTTAAGCAGGCCCAGCATTAGGGCTGCCACCTTCCTCTGGCCTGGCTTCGTCTGGTACTTTTTTTGCTTGGCAAAACAAGGCCTGAAGGCTGCCTGCACAGCAGAAGTGAAATTTGGAGAAGTAATTCTGAATTGTCGTGTAAATACATATCTGTTGTCATGTAATGGAAAGCAGACTCTTTGTTGCTGAATTTCTTAATTCCCCCGGCTTTCCTTTTGGTTCATTTCCCAATGAGAAGTACAGAAATTAGGGCACATTTAGGGCTACAATCCAGATTTATGTGACATTTTTAATGCATTCTTAACTAGGAGTTAATTTCTGCGTGCACAGGATGGGCCGCAAGTGCCACTGAACTCAGTATGGTTAATAACCTCAGAGTTAAACCTGTTTAGCCTTGTGCAGCAATTCCTTTTTACCCTGGGGAGTAACTGGCTTTTGGAGCTGTATCCCTCCCAAGTAACTGTTGTAGGCAAAAGTGGCCTAGCAGAATGCCTTTGGCAGCATGCAGACATCTGTAGATTCCTCAGCTATAATAATGCATAACCAGCAACAGTCTTAACATAGATCAAGGTGGGTAGCTGCGTTTTATTCAGCGTGTGAGCTTTCGTTCGCATGCACACTTCCTCAGGTACACTGAAATGGAAGACCACAGTTCATACATAGAGGTAGATAGCTAAGAAGTTACAAAAGATACTTTTACACATCAGTCTCCTGTGTGAGAGACACCTCATTTTTTCAGACCACAAAGTGGTCAGTACGTACATGGACACAATACATTGCTCCCCTACTGGAAATACGATTTTTTTTTAATTGTGAAGAAGTGTAAGAACATGAGGTGCCCTCCAGATCAGACCAGTGATCTACATGATCTAGCATCCTGTCTCACACCGTGGCCAACCTGTTTCCCTGTGCTGGAGACCCAGGTTCAAATCTCCAAGCTGTCACTGGAAGCTTGCTAGGCCAGTCACTTTGCCTCTCAGCTACCTACCTCATAGCTAGGTACTTCAGCCACCTACCCCCACCCCCTCTCTACCTATATGTAATGGTTGAGGAAATGGTTTCACTGTATCTGAAGCTGTATTGGTATGAAACAATTTCCTCAACCATTCTTCTAAATAGTTTGAACAAAGTTTGAGTCCAGTGGCACATGAAAACTTTGAATAAAACTTTGTTGGTATTAAAGATGCCACTGGACTCAAACTCTGTTCTGTATCTGGAGAAATGTGGGTGCACAGAAAAGCTTAGAATAAAATTCTGTGGGCCTGAAAGCTGCCACTGGACTCAGACTTTGTTCTACCTCACAAGGGTGTTATTGTGAGGATAAAATGGAGGAGTGGACTAGGGGAGACTTTGGGTCCTCACTAGGGAGAAAAGCAGGGAATAGGCAGTGCTTTTTTAAAAAGATGCCACCAATTCCCCCCTCAGAACTTGGGAGAGACCCCCCCCTCCAAGGTGCCAGTGAGTACCGCAACCACAAAAACACAACACCCTAGATATAAGGTTCTAAATAAAGATGCCAAGCCCTGCTCCTATGGCGTTGGTATTGTCTGGGAGATGTACTAAAACTAAGGACAAGCGATTGCCCATAGGGAATACATGAGTGGACAGCGATTGCCCATAGGCAATACATGAATGCCAATAGAGAATGCATGATTGCCCATAGGAATAATGAAGAGTAGGCTTGTCCAGAGGGGATACTGCAGTACATAATTGCCAATAGAGAATCCATAATTGCCAATAGAGAATCCATGACTGCCCATAGGGAATAATGGAGAGGATGCTTGCCCATAGGAGATAATGGAGTACATAATTGCCAATAGAGAATCCATAATGCCAATAAAGAATCCATGCCTGCCCATAAGGAATAATGGAAAGGATGCTTGCCCATAGAGGATAATGGAGTACATAACTGCCAATAGAGAATTCATGTTTGCTCATAGGGACATAATTGTCAACAGAGAATCCATGATTGCCCATAGGGAGTAATGGAGAGTAGGCTTGCCCAGAGGGGACAGTGCAGTACATAATTGCCAATAGAGAATCCATGATTGCCCATAGGGAATAATGGAGAGCAGAGCACACCTAACCATAGGGTATAATGGAGTCCACATTTCGAACAATGAATAAGGTAGATCACATGTGACACAGGGAATAAGGGAAACCACGCTTATCTATGCGGACATCACACGGGAGAGGTCATTCCGGCTCTCCCAGCTCTCCTTAGGGGCTCTTTAAACAGTTATGGCCGCTGCCCCCAGGGCAGCTACAAGGGCGGGGGTGGGGCGGCAGCGAGAAACATTCCCCGCCTCCCTGAGCCCCGGGGTGGTGGCCTTGGGCTCCTAGGGGCAAATTCCACCTCTCGCGAGAGGTCATTCTGGCTCTCCCAGCTCTCATTAGGGGCTCTTTAAACGGTTATAGCCGCCACGACGGCGGTAGCTGCAACGGCCGCGGGGTGGGGTCGAAACGACCTCTCCATTATTCCCTATGGGCAGTCATGGATTCTCTACTGGCAGTTATTCTCTATGGGCACTCATGGATTCCCTATGGGCAACCGCTGTCCTTCGTTTCAGTACCTCCCATTTTCTGGTTTCCTGCCTCTAGCTATGGAAGGGAAGCAATCCGAAGCGAACCTACCCAGAAGGCGTTCCAGTTTTATTCAGTGTGCCTGACTCCCAGACAAGCGTTCTTAGGACTGCAGCCCTAGAGCACCACTGGAGGGAATTATTTGCAGAAACAAAATCCCGGGGATTCAGTAGCCACCCGTCTCGTCCACCCAGCTCGGGGGAAAGGGAAGGCCGCTGCCTTGACGTGCCTGGCCCCGCCTCGCCCAGCTGAGCCTCAGCACATGGCCCTGTTCCCAGCAGCACCCATTCAGGCGGTCCCTCCTCCTCCTCCCCCTTGCCGCACGGAAACAGGCTCAGCGGGGCCTCCTACGGCTCCCGGGCGCGATGCGATGAACTCGCAGCCGCTCGTCTCAGCAGCGCGGGCGGCCGAGGCTCCGTCCAGAGGCGAGTGAGCGGGGCGAGGGGCCGCTTCCTTGGCGGATCCCGGGCATGAGCCCGGCCGGCCGGCCCTGTCGCCGTGGCGCCTTGAGCAGGAGGAAGAAGAGGGCGCCTGTCGTCGGGAGAGACGCGACCTTGCGAGGGGGCCTCCGGGGCGGGAGATGCGCTTGTTCCCGCCGCTGGCTGGAGCAGCATGTTCCCCGATGCAGACGCCGCCGCCGCCGCTAACATCTCCAGCAGCAGCAGCAGCGGCGGCCGGCTTGAGTCGGCGAGCCCTGCCGTGGGCTCCGGCTCTCCAGGAGCGCAGAGTCCCGGCGGCGAGTCCTGCAGCAGCAGCAGCAGCAGCGTCCCAGCAACCGCGGCCGAAGGCGACGACGAGGAGGACGGCGAGGAGGAGACGCCGGCGACGCCGGAGCGCGGCGGCGGCGGCTTGTCCCGCTCTATGCTGGCTGCCACCGGGCTGGGGCTGCTGCTGGCCGTGTCCCTCTTCCACCTGGGCCGGCCGCGCGCGGAGGAAGAGGCGCCCGGAGGACAGCAGTGCTTGGCCTTGCTCCTGCTCCGGCTCCTCTTCTACTTGGGCTGCGCCGCCGGCTCCTTCTTCCTCGGCACCCTCCTGGCCCTCCTCGGCCGCAGGCGAGGCAGCCTCTGGCCCCCGCCCCCGCCGGATTCCCCAGCCGCTTGGAGCCGCCGCTTTCCGGGGAAGGACAAGGCCGACCCACTGCTGCAAGCTGCCGCGGTAAGAGGGTTTCCCCGGCTGCCCGCGCCTCTTGCCTTTGGCGGAGCTGCGCCTCGTCGCCCTCCTGATTCCTGTCCCGCAGACCCTGGGCCGTAGAGGACGCGTTCTTTGCCAGGGAGTCACTGAACTGAACTCTTCGCCCCCTTCTGTTCGGGAAGGGGTGCCTCTGAACATATGCAGAGTGTGCTTTAGCGCATACATCTGCGGTTGGGGACTCAGGGCTGCGGACAGGGGGAGTGGCAAGAGGCACAAGACCCCAGAGACCGCAGTCACTCCTAGGACGCATGTATCATTTTCTTTCATATAATATTCAGGCTGGGTTTAGGTGATAAGGGGGAGGACCTTGAGGGAGTCTCATCTGGAGGCTCATGGTAGCCATGGTTAGGGTACTAGATCATCATAGGTATTGCTTCTAAGTAAACTGGAGTCCCTGCATTTCTCTTTTTAGAAAGTAACCTCAACTGATCCAGATTAGATCTCTTCTTTACCCAGTATAAGCAAAAGACTAGATGGAGGGGGGAGCCCTGTTTACTCAAAATAGAGGGTGGATGTGTGTGTCTGGTGTCATTGGCCTGGTGTCATTCTCTCTCCCTCCCTCCTCCTGTTACCTGTTAGCTGTAGGAGATGGTATGTACCTGCCTGTGCAGTGATGATGCAGCTGTTCCTGCTATTTTGGCTGCAGTGTTCAAAGTGTCACAGAGTTTCTTTACACTGTAAAAGTTAATAGTACTTAACAGTACTATTCATGCTAGTCCAGTAGGACAAGTTAGTCTCTTTAATGTGTGTGTTTAAGAGATATTAGGTCTTATGTGACCATGAAAAAAATACAGAAAATCATCTCAACTTCTACCAACACCTCTCTGTTCAGTTAGCTTAAATGGGTGTTCCCTGTAAATGTGGCTTTTCTACAAAACCGTCTGCTCCATTAGGTAGGATGAGGCAGCCTATGTGAGGTAGCAGCTTTTGAAGCACCTTTGTTGGACAGCAAAATGGTCACATATTTCATTTTATTCTGCTGTGCAGAGAACTAGATATCAAGGGAGAAGGAAAGAACTTACTTTTCAACATGCAGAATGTTCTTGTGCGTGAATCCTGCATGCTATTTGAAGGGGTGTGGACTGGGCACAGCCACAGCTTTACTACTACGTCCATGAGAACTGGCTGAGAAATAGCAGAGACCCCCCATTTTCTTCTCTGCTGTGAGGACTAGCGAGGGTCAGCACTGAGATTTCCACAGTGAACACATTGCTTGTTGAAAGGAGAGGCATTTAATCAGCAGACGTGGGCCTTGACAAACCCCATGTGGCCATTCCCTTGACAAATGTCCTTCACTAGGAGGCCTTTGGCACCAATCAAAGCAAATTATGTCATACAAAACGAGCCTGGTGATTTTTTTTATTTGACTATTCTGTCATCTCAGTACTGAAGTTTTGTACTTGGAAGGAAACTCAACTGATCAGGATTAAACTGTTGAGTAAGTGTGCTTTGGATTGTTGTTTAGTCTTTAAGCACATGAACTGTTATTTTTCCCCCAGTAGGATTTATAGTTCCAAAATGCAACTACTTCAAAGGCAGGTGGCCACAAACCATTATGTGTTGAAATCAACTTACCTTGTGCATGCTTCAGCATATCAGAATCTGCTGAAAACTATCCATATACATCATTCATTAAAAAGCAAGCTTAAATTGGTTTAATAGACAATAGTTTTCCTATATATGCGCCCCTCTGTATATAGGTAGATAACTTTTCTGTTGAAAACATGCACTTAGTCTGTTCCTCATCATACATGATGATGGTGATAACAGTATATATATTTACAGATTGCACGTTGCCCATGGGCCTAAATAGGCACATGTGTATTCATCATTGGTGCACATGAGGCATTTTATAGAATTTACAACCAGCATAAATTTTTACTGTGAAAAAGTTAGAACAGTCAGTATCTTCAGGGCCACGTGTAAACAGGAGTTGAATGAATGAGGCTAATTTGCCACAGGCAGAGGACAAAACCTCCTTGCTTTCTGGTGTCTGCTTTTTCTGCCTGGTCGTTGTGGTTGGGTTATTGGACTGGGTAGCCACAAGCCTATTGTACTACGTCCTTCAGCTTGTATATCCGTCAAAATTAATTTGTGCTAAATTTGCATCTAGACCAGGAATGTAATTTGATTTCTCTCCTCTCCTCTTCTGGTTAATGCTATTAACAAGAAATGTGTTTCTGCTGGTTTCTGTTAGGAACCCTGTAAATGTGCTTGTGGCAGTGCATGAAAAATACTACGTTATGAAGTACAAGAATCAGGTTTTTTTTAGGGGGCCAGCACCATCTTTTTATGTAGTGATCTGGAAAAGAAGAAAAATACAAGCATTCTTGAACACTAGCCTCAGATGCTTACAGTGCAACCCTGAGTCAAATTGTGCCCTTCTTAGCCCCCTGACTTCCATGGATTTAGAAGGATGTTTAGAATTGCACAGTTAATCACCTGGGCGTTCCCCCCAGCAGTTGGTAGTGGAGTACAGTAATTGAAAATGGTGCTATATGGTTTGTCACTTACTGATTCCTGCACATACCAGCCCTATCAGATATAACCTAAGGTTTGATCCAAGAACTTCCTTCTAGTGTTGGTAGTTATTCTTTTTAGCAAGAATTGGAAGCAAGATGTCAGGTTTTTTAAAAAAATGTAAGGGACTGTAGTGTGTAGAGATGCAGTCATAAGGGGAGGTCCTTTTAACAATGTATATTCATGTTCTTCTAGGTCTTGTTACTAACAGTAGGAATTCCATTGTGTTCATGTCAGCTTATAGTGGAAAAGCAATGTAAGGACCAGGTTCTGTTCTCCTTTCACTGTGTGAGAGGGGAATAGTCTTCCTAAGCTCTAGACTTGTGAATGAAGGGCAGTTCAAGTTGATTAACCGTGGAATCCTGAGCAGAATTCCATCCTTCCAAGTCCACTGACTTCAGTTCATTTAGGAAGCAGTTCTGCTCAGGCTGACAGTGTTAGTAACTGATGAATGAAGCCCTTAATAATCTGTTATGGGTTCTTCAGCCACATCAAGTGCATTGGGTTCTACGGAAGCCAGAGAAAGAGTTGCAGGGGTAAGGGGAAGAAGGATTTTTGTTTGTAAATATGTTAGGGCAGGGCTTTTTTTGTAGAAAAAGCCCAGCAGGAACTCATTAGCATAATATGCCACACCCAACAGCAGAAACTCATTAGCATATTATACCACACCCCTGACAGAGCAGCTCATTAGCATATTAGGCCACACCCCCACGTTACCAGAAGTGTGGTCATCCAGCCACACCCACCTTTTGCTTCTTATTCTGTTTACCTTGTTTGTTGTCAAAACCCAGGGCTTTTTTTGTAGCAGGAACCCTTTGCATGTTAGGCCACACACCCCTAATGTAGCCAATCCTAATGAGTTTCTGCTGTAGGGTGTGGCCAACTCAGGAGCCAGCCGGAACTCCGTTCCTGTGCGTTCCTGCCCAAAAATACCCCTGTGTTAGGGGCTGAGAAGAAATAACATTCTGTGCTCTGACTGTCTTGGATTCAGTGGCCCCTGTGTGTTGTTGATTCTTCTTCAGAACTATAAAATAGGAGTCAAGAAGCACTTTAGGCTCACAGTTTATTCCAGCATAAATTTGTCTACCTTCACCAGATGCATTAACTGGACATCTGTGTGGTTGATGCATTTATATTTGCAACAGAAAGGCAGGGCTGTGGGTGATGTTACAAAAAAGAGAGGCTGGTTTAAAGCAAGTTTATTCAACCACAATTCCTATCAAAAGCAGATGGAATACAATGAGCTCCTGAACAATATACATAGGCTATGATTGAATTAATATAGAATAAAGTTACATACAGATTCTCTGGTTGTCTTTTTGTGTACAGAGGTAGTATCAATCTTTTCCTGTAATATACAAAACAAGATATGAGAACAAAAGCAAGTTGCATAACTCAATCCCTATTGATGGTACATTCATATTACAAAACTTACCAACAACAGTTCCAACAGCCCATAGGCTAACAAGTTTATAATACAGCACGCAGGCTTACTAGTTTTCAGTCCGGACAACAAGTCTTACTGAGTACAAGCATTCATTTCCTTAAATAGGTGCAAAATGCAAACAAGGTAAATTGCTTGTGCATGCAAGGATGACCAACTTACCAGTACATATAACTTTAGCACAAATTAATAGATGCATCAGGCTAAGGACAAAACCACAAAACATATATACAGTGAATTCTCTAGTATTACATAGCATTATATTATAGTCAGTAGCCTTCTATAGTCAATCCCTATTAAGTGTACATACATAATAAAAAGCTTATCAACAACAGTTCCAGCAGCCATAGGCTAACAAATTTATGATTCAGCACACAGGCTTAATAACAATCCGGACAACAAGTCTTACTGAATACAAGCATCCCTTTCATTAGATAGGTGCAAAATGCAAACAAGGTAAATTGTTTATACATACAAGGAAGGCCAACTTACCAGTGCATATGACTTTAATACAATTGATAGATACCTCAGGCTAAAGGCAAAAAACATATACAGAGTGGATTCTCTAATGTTGCATAGCATTATAAAAAGCAAGATAAATCCAGGGAAGTGTTAAGTCCTGCAGGTTGGATGGTATTAAGCTTAAACATCCAATAAGCCTCCCTCTGGAGCAATAATTTATGGATATCTATATTGCTGTATGGTCTAGATCTCACTACTTCTATTGCCACACAACTAAATTCGTCATATTTGTGACCCACTTCGGCAAAATGCTGGACCAGAGGTGCAGTAGGGCAAAGATGTTTTAATTTAGACTTATGTTCCAGAACTCGTGTGCGTAAAGCTCGTGTAGTTTGTCCCACATATCTATAATTGCAACCACAGGAAATCATATAAATGATGTTCCTACTTGCACACGAGGAGAACTGTTGTAAGTTTCTGCTGAAACCAATCTCTGGGAGATTCAGGACACCTGTTTCAAGCATGAGAGGACATGCAG